AACAACAACATAGGCTGGCTCTGCTCCTAGCAGTCATAGTGCAGAATCAGATTCCCTACTTATCCTTACTGAACTATCCAGCCAGTAGAAGGCTGGCTCTGCTCCTAACAGTCATAGTGCAGAATCAGATTCCCTACCTATCCTTACTGAACTATCCAGCCAGTAGAAAGATTGAACTTATTTATTTATTTGATTTGTACCCCACCTATCTGGACTACCAGACCACTTCTTAAATATATCCTGTATTACTGTAAATAAAACTGCGTACCCACTTCATATAGACACAGTGCAGAAATACAAACATAAATACGTCCATTGTATTTCATATGATCCCCAAAACCTCTGAGAGTCTGCAGATGGTGATGAGTAAGTTGGGCAATTTCATTCTAATAAGAGTCAAATAAGTGAGGAGTTCCTTGGCTGAATCTAGTTTAAGGCAGGCTGTACCTTTTTATTTGCAATTCAGAGAAACATTCTTTGATCTATTTTTATTACACTTAGATCTGCAAATGTGATACAGATAGTTTTGAACCTAGTGTAAAGAGCTGTGAAATAAACTAATATTTAAAATGAAGTTCTGAGTGTAGGTGTAACTATTCTGTTTTAGTTCAATACAGTTCTGTTTATTCAGAAATCCCTTTGAGCTCAACAGGATTTATTCTCAAGGAAGGTATCCTAAACTAAAATTTCAAGCTGAAATCATTGGGATTTAAAAATGATTACTATCAGTCTAATGGTTGTAAATATAATTTACAGTCATATGCACGTTCTGTTGAGCTTACTGATTTTTCTGAACTTTTTTGTAAATAACAAGTGGTTTGCTAATTTGTGTTGGCCTTGCAAATGTTCAATTTGTGCCTGCTCCTGAGATGAACTTTTGAAGATGTTTGCAAGTCTCTAGATACACTTTTAGTCTCATGTATGTAATGCTTAATAACAATGCATTGTAAAGACAGGGTATGAAATTGGAAAACGAAGCAAAGCACGGTTAGGCACTTTGACCAAGTACAGTATTATAGTTGTGACAAATGACACCTTTTCATTTATGTATTTCAATAGGTGTTATGGACAAAAAGTACGTATGTCTTAAGTTTAATTTCTGCGCAAATCACTATACATAAACACTTTATAATTTTCAGCTCACAACAATCCTAACAAGGGATTTTGTTTGTAAAGACACGGCCACTTCAATAAGGGCTTCTGTCTTGGGCCAGCATTATTATATATTAATCAAGAGGCGTACACCGAGTAAAACGTTAAACGACTAATGTGTCAGAAAATAAAACAATTGGGATTCTAATACAGAGGCTGCTATAAAAGAGAGAGGGATTCTCTATAATTCGCAACTCCAGTACTCCAAAGTATAAACTTGAGGGCGGGGAGAACAGCTCAGAGTCAGACGCCCTTGAGCATCGCAAACCGTTCAGCGCACAACGCTGGGCCTCGCCGTCTCCTTCCCCTCTTGCCCATGCGCACAAAGACACTGAGGAAGCGGGCATGCGCACACAGGCGTGCTGGTTTTTCTGGTAGGCGGCTTGGTAGGAGCAGGCGTAGGGGAGGGCCGCACGGCATTGTGGGATATTGCGGCCCAGGCAGGCTGGTGAAGAAACGATCGTCCGACGGCGGTTATTGCGCGCGAGCTAAGCGTTCTTTTCTTGCTTGTCGTCGTTCGACAGGGGACGTCGAGGGACACCACGCAGAGGCCACCCCCCGGTTCCCCAGGGCCTTTGACCCCTCTCCCCTCGATGTGTTTCTAGTGTCGGAAAAGGAGGCAGCGCGATGGCTTCAAGCAGCGGCACCGATGTGATCCAGGTCACCAACGTCTCCCCGAGCGCCACCTCCGAACAGATGCGGACCCTTTTCGGCTTCCTGGGCAAAATCGAGGAACTGCGCCTCTTCCCTCCCGAGTGAGTCGCGCTCGACGCCTCCCGTAGGCCCGCCCCCCCCCCAGTCGCTTACGGGAGAGGCCTCGCGGCGGCCTGGTTGAGGCCGCGAAGCCGCGCGCTAGGCCTCGGAGGGGGGGAGGGGAGCGAGGAGAGCCCCCCCCCATCCGGGCCCTCTCGGCATAGTGGCTGCCGCCGCCCTTCGCCTCTCTTGCTCGGCTCTCGCCAAGAGGGACAAGCGCGGGTCTGGTGGCCGCCCTGGTGGCCTCGGGAGTAAAATGCCTCGCTTCCGACGGCCTTGGTCTCGTCGCGCATCCGCTTTATGGGAACAGTAGCCTAATATTGCGGGCCAAGCCGTTGTGGCGCTTCATACGCACATGGTCCCGGGGCCCTAGAGGAGGTCTGCCCACAGCCAGCCAAGGCGTGGAAGCCCTTGGGCGGGCTGGGCTGGGCTTTGTTCCC